GGCATGTCACATGTTTTTGTCAAATAATATTTGATAGTCTGGACAAGTCCTTATTATTTGTCCTCTGCTTTGTCTCTGTCAGTCTTTTTGTTTTTAAATTCAATTTTTTCAGCGCCCTCTGTCATAAGTTTATGTTTTTACTAGGTACGGAAACTGGAGTTCTTACTAGGTGAAGCCTTAGCAACTGGTTGCCAAGCAGTGATAACATGTGGTGGAGTTCAGTCAAACCATTGTCGCACAACAGCAGTTGCAGATAAACAACTTGGTATTGAAACCCATCTTCTACTCAGGTCCAGGTCAGAGGTAAATACTTATCAGTGGCAGATTGAAGATGGAACCCTGGGGGGACACAGCTGACCTGTGCCCCTTCATATTATTTTTAAGTTCTTTTTAAAGAATGGAGAAAACATAAAAGAAAATTGTATTCAAATTTAAGTGTAAGAGAGCCATTTCCAGCAATCTAGAGGTGCCACAATTATAGTTTTTCTCAGCCCTACCATGGTTGTTGGACCCTTGGTCTGTGAATGTCTTTCCCTGGACCCCTTTATTCTCAATTTCTTGATTTTCCACTGCTTAATACTTATTATATGACATTCAGTGTAAACATCATCTGCTCTATCCACTGATCTAATTTGAGTCTCTGTCTCTTATACACATCTAGATGTGTATAAGAGACAGGAGTATACAACACGAATATACATCCATGCATATCATAACAATGCATCAAGTTTAAATTTCCCTATATTTCATCCTTTATTACAATTAGAAAGTAAAATAAATACAATAATTTAAAAAAAGGAATATGAATATAAAAATACTGTGAGAATAAAGTGTGTACTTATAAGTAAATACACATACATGGAAGATGCAGACACATTGTCAAAAAGAAGACCACAGGAGTCAAAATACTAATATATTTTTTAAAAAAAATGTTACACAATTATTGTTTTGAAAAAGAATATCAAAGAATTGCAATTACAATAATAAAATAAGTTTTTTCGTTGAAATTTCTCAATAATTATGCTGTAAGTTGACGCAAATTGACGTGTACTGACGCAATCCGACATAACTTAACACGATTTGACCTGAAATGACGCGATTTCATGCGAGTTGACGCAAGTGGACAGCTCATGGTATGATCGCGACGTGCTTCTACCCCGCTGTATTGCGGTGTGTTTTCCGACGACTAGTAGCCTACGAACGTAATAAAACGGTAATTTTCTTAAAATTGCAGAAGATATTTTTGTCGAACTTTTTATATTTGATTCAATACATATTACTTAACTATTGTAGGCCTAAATTTTTTATTATGAAAAGATCGGAATGGAATTCGTTTTCTAGACGTCTTTTGAGCTTCACCCCATGGCCTAGTATCCTACCACATCTAAAACACTCTTGCTTATTATTATTGTTATTAATAGCCAATATTCAGAATATATCTAAATGCGTTAACAAAATGTGATTGATGTAATTTATTAGATTAAAAAGGAATAACGTAACGTTGTCTTTGGATCTGAAATATGCTTGTTGTCACTATTTTTTATCTATAGTTATTAATAGTTGAAATGACAAGTGTTATGTACTATGATTTTTTTTTTGTTTTTCAGGTCACCGAGTACTACAATATTAAGATGTTATGAAAGCATACTAGAAACTAATACAAATGATAATGTATTTTTATACGTTGTTCGTAATCAAAATCTATCAAATTTTGCATTAAGCTAAAGCTTACTCATATTTACTTTTCATTAAACAACTATTATTCATTGAATTTCCGTGGATTTTTTTTTTTTACATACAGACATTCAGTGGGAATTCCCAAAAACGTAAACAAGGGAGTTGCTGCAAACCATTGTCTACCCGGTGAAAATCTCACTGTCAAGACACATATTAATGATAGTCAAAACATAGTTATACCCGTTGGAAAATGAGCGGTTCTAATTGTCCCGCAGTACTTGCATGCACGTGGTCTCTTGTCTGTCTCCGATCGCAGAATCAGCAGCTGTCTACATTCCTGATTGGCGGCGTACAAAGAATCAGACTATGTGACTGACCTTATGTCTGCTTCTCCCAATTACAGTGTATCGTGAGAACGTACTTAATTGCGGGAACGTTTCTTACTGAATTCACAGTTACTAGGCAACTTGCAGTACTGGTAACTTTTTGCCTATTTCAAACAGTTTATTTCCGTTCATGACAAATTAAAAGAATCAATACAAACGGAAGTGGATTGATGTTATGTAAAAAATAAAACAGTGAAGTTTAATCAGGGAACACTGTTCCCCGGTTTAATTCATGTTTCGATGGTCTTTTCATTTGTTATACTTATATCAGTCTGACTTGTAATATTATAACAAAGAAAACAATTTCCATGACTTTGTAATGTTTTTTTAAGACAACAAAATTCATTCTGATTCTGTACAACTATCACTTATCATTTAAAAGAAATCTCCCTACTGTGTAATATTTATTAGAATCAAAATTAATTTGATTCCACTTCATTCACCGTCAATAGGCCCATCTAATAAGGTTACTTTATCATTTAAACAAAAATTGCTGAAAAAATAAAGCATAATTATTGCTCAAACATTTATTCATTATTAAAAAAATACAAATTGCTTCATAGGCCTATTTTGCATCTTAATTCCGACGTCATGAGCACTGTAGAATGTTTCTGTAAAGAAAAAAATACAAAACAATTAAGTACATTATTTAAGGAAATTATATATGAGACGTATTTAAAATATCACGTCTGAAACACACACACACACAACGATTATTCATATTACTGTACTTAAATAATGACGAATCGGTCGTTTTAATTGACTTTACGAATGTTATTAATTATATTATCTCTTAATACTATAAAAATTAATTCTATTTAGACATAGACCTATTAAATATCCCAAACCAACTCTGGTAGTACAGTACCACGACTCAAAAAACTAAAACAAATTGCAAAAAGCGTTCAATTATGATTAAGATAATGATAAGACGGTCGTTATAATTTTTAACCTTACGGAATGTTATTTACGAAAATTATATTTAAAATATCGTTAGAATTACCTTTATTTGTAGACGTATTAAAAAAATCTGGTACCCTACCACGCATGAAACATGAAAATAATGAGACGGTCGTTTTATTTAGATACAAACATTATTTATATGAATAATAAATAATATTAAGAATATCGGAGAGTGAAGTATTTGAAATATTCTAACATGAATGTGTTTACCTTCTACGTCCGAAACACAAACAGTTACATAAATAATAATGAAACGATTGTATTATTTGGAAATATTACAAACTTAAGATGACTTTAGACGATTTTCGTTTTCTTAAATTAACTATGTATTCAATTACTGTACTGCACTTCTATTCAAAACTCTACTAGTCAACCACGCCTGAAACACCCTCCGGGCATTATGTCATTTTTGACTTATCCGGTTTCGTTGAAAGTTCGTAAACACAACCTTAGGGTGCGTTCGAGCCAGAAAAATATCCGTGCGATGTCCGTGTATTTACACGGAAGTTAAATGCCGTGCGTGGCTCGAACGGGGGTAAGATGTAAAAAACATCTGAAACACGCTCGCCTATTTTGACCACCAAATTTAAAGCCGTGTATCGCTGTCAAAGGCGATTATCGCGACCATTAATCATGTTTTAATGACTCTACCGTCTGGCGGTCAACATGAATTCAATTCAACACGCGCGAAAACCATAGGCCTGTCCAGTTTTACAAAAACCAATGCATTCGCTGACCTGTTGTTAATGTTATAGCATCATCTTCAATATTTCAACATGTCTGTGTGGACCGAACCTATGATACGTTACCTTCTCTCATTGTGGGGGGAAGACAGAATACAAAGACAACTGGACGGCACCCGCCGAAACAGCGGTATTTACAAAGAAATAACCGCAAAGATTGAGGAAAAATTTAGGGGGAAGCTGACGGTGACACAGGTCACCAATAAGCTGAAGTATTTGCGCAGGGAGTACAGCAAAGCCAAAGACAATAACAACAGATCGGGACGCGAAAAAGTTACCTCCCCATACTACGATGTCATCGACAGAATTTTGGGGACCAGAGACATCCACAATCCGAATTTTGTTAGCAACAACTTGCCTGGCATAAATGAAGGTATGCATCGTAAATCGTTTATTTTTGTTCGTGGTGTGAAAGCCACCACTGATTAGTCTGGCCTTTCCCCATGTTCTCCGAGTTCCCCGAATTCTAGGCCCCCACCCACCCTATAGGCTAGGCCTAGGTTATTTTGCGCGGGGATTCGTAAACACATTTGCGCTGAAGATCGTCAGAAATTGCCATCGTTTTATTTTCTATACCAGAATATGGCTTATGTATTTTTCTTAAAAATAAAATGTATTTAAACGTGCCTATAATAATTTAAATCATTGCTTTCATTGCAGATACTTCAACAACAGACAGTTCTTCTGCAGATACAGATGAGAATTTGGAAGGGGATGAAAATGGTATGTAGGAATGTATGTATTGTAGGCCTATCTTATTTAAATTAACTGCTGTTGCCAGTTATATTTTATACTCAAGGAACACACAATACCGGTGGCGGTGGGGTCCTGGCGGCCCCCCCCCCAAGTTGTAAAAAATTGGATAAAAAAGGAAAATTGTGCCATTTCCGGCCATCTAGAGGCTCCGTAATCGTACATTTTCTTACCTCAGTCCCATCCATGGTGGGGCTGAGGTGGCATAGACCCTCCTTCTCTCAAAATATCGCCCCACCATATATTTCAAATTTCTGGATCCTCCACTGAATACAGTATCAATATTCCGACCTCCATGGGATGTACAGCACTCAAGAATTGTAAGATGTATTAAACAACTACTGTGGGAGATTGAAATTAAACAATAAATGTTATTGTGTACTATTATTAATAAATATTATTTCTCCGTAGATGAGACACCAAATGGAGATCTGCCTGAACCTAGAGGTAATGATGCTGTACCGGTAAATGAACCAGAGCCGGTGACACAAGGTTTGTAGAAAGCATTCAAAGCGTTTTATATATTAGCATATTATTTGCATGAAGTATCGTTGTATTTTTTAAAACTATTTTTAAAAAGGTTTCTTTGCATGATTTAATTTATTCACTGGGAAAATTAAAATATATTTAAAAAGCTAGAACATGCCTCTGTGCTGACTTTATTATACAAAATACTGTACCAGCATCAACAATGGGGAAAATGAAAGCCTGTGATAGGAAAGAGCCAAACTTTAAAATGCTACCCAGTAACAAAAACAAATTTTATGTTTATCTTCCTTGTCATATGTGGTTTAAGTTGTTGCTCTGGCCATGGAGAAATTATTCCTCCATGCTCTGGCCTGCTGCCTGTTGATTGCTTTCTTAAATAATTTATGTGATCCACTGTACAGTATTTGATTAATTCCTTATATTTTAGATTTCTAACACAAATTCTTATATCAAACAGTATGGCATTGCTGTTGGTATTAGTGTAGCTATCTGTTAATGTTAGTGTTAATTTAATTTATACATATTTTTTTGTCTTTAGAGGTTGAAAATGAACAGCCAAAGAAGAAAAAAAAGAAAACAAAAACAAGATTTGAATTGTCACTGGAGTCATTCAATGCGAATTGTGAAGAACAAGATAAGCAGTTTGAAGAAAGAATGCTGGAAAGGCAAAACATTCAGCAGCAGAGGCAGGATACAATCCTGGGCCAGTTTATGGCCCAGCAGAACGAGTTGATGGGGATGATGAGGACGATGATGCAGCATCAGCCTACAAATCAATATCAGCAGCCCATGCAGCAGCCAGCACATCAACAAATGCATCAACAGCATTATATTCCAACAAGATACAACACAGCATCTGGTTCGAGAGCTGCAGGGCTGAAGCGCACGTATGCCCAATTGATGCCAGCCCAATCCCAACCATCAAGCCAGTCAGGTGAAGAGCACTGGCCCCAAGTGTCTTCAATGCACGCAAAACAACCCACACGCAATTCGCATACAGAAAGTACCAGTGCTTCAGTCCCTGTGATTTGGTCACCGATAGCACAGAGCACGCCAAAGCGGCCTGAACGTTTTTCTTTGTAAAAATCTGAATGTCATGTTAAATTTAATGTTCTAACTTTTTATCAGCATGCTTTTAAATTGTGTTTTTATCTCATTATAGCTTAGACTTTTTCTTATTATTCGAAGAATAACTTATGCAAACCTGCAGTCGGCAGTGGCTGGTTTTATATATTAGCATATTATTTGCATGAAGTAGGTTAGAAAATTTATGAATATGGTACCGCTAGATGACAAAAAATGGCACTCTCCCACTTAAAATTTTAATCCGCCACTGGTGGGATCTTGTATAGGGCGGGTCACCTCTACTACAATTTTACCCAACCCTTTATTAATCTTGAATTTTCTCCTCTTAGTAGAATGAACAAAGAATTTTTCCCCTGCTTTTCGAAGACCTCTAGACAAGGCATGAACAATTCTTGCCTTATCAGTAAGGTTTGAAATAATGTAAATATTCTAATCAGTAATATCACATGTGATAGAATACATCCAGGTATTTCTTTTTTCTCTGTATATTTCTTCATTGTGCATTATGTGAATTATGAAAATAGCGGTAAATAAAGGTGCATGTTGATATTAAGCTAGAATATTGTCTCCATATATACCACACTAACTATAAATTTTTCAATGAGTGTTAATGTATATAATTTCTACATTAATCTCTACGGTTTTATTAAAAGAAATGTTTATGTGCATGTAATCATTGTTGTGAATACTGTATTTATGAATACAAATCATACATTTAGTACATGTTTACTTAAAAATAAAAAAAAATTTTCTTTCTATTTTGTAAACACCCAACCAGGGTCATCAAGTTTTTCCTGTCATTTAAGGGGGTATGTGACGTCTTGTACATTATTAAAATAATGGATGGCTCCGGGGACATGTACAGTGTGCAACATTCAAATTCATTCAGCATCAAAATACTATCTAAAGTACCCCAATAGAGCATTTCTAATGTCATCGGCAGAAGGTACAACGTCATGCACAGGGTCAGCCTGTGGTTGTTCATAAATGACATGCATTTGATCCCATCCAGCTTCGTAAACTTCATTGTGTTCAATGCAAAAATTGTGGAGAATGCAGCAGGAAGTCACCATTTGTGGGATCGCTTTCAAAGCAGAGTCATTTCTGCGCATCAAGATTCTCCATCTCCCTTTTAACTGGCCAAATGCCCTTTCTACAACCATTCTTGCACGGCTTAATCGGTAGTTGAATGTTCTTTCTTGTTGACCAAAATTTGCCCCTTCAGAGAATCCCTTCATTAGCCAAGGCAACAGTGGGTATGCTGGGTCTCCGAGAATTACAATTGGCATTGGTGTTCCATTTATTTCCTTGTACCACTGAAAATATAAGTGAAATGTAATGTTTTAATTGCTCTGTTAAGTTTAATTGTTTCCTCAACCCTACCCACAATTGCAAGTTTGTGTACCTACCGCTGGAAATAAATCTCCATTTTGACCCTTCTCATACAGAGTTGAGTTTCGCAGCACCCGTGCATCATGAACACGTCCGGGAAATCCCACATTTATGTCTGTGAATCTGATTTGAAAAATAATAGGGAAAAATGATATTTTTTTAAAGAAATGTATTTTTCAATAATGCTTATGTTGACATTATTTTTTTTACAACAAACACAAAAATTAATCATGTCATTTTCCATCATCCTATGTAGGCTAGAAAAATTTATGAGGGTGGGAGCCCTTTTATTTTGGTAAGCCAAATATTAACCTTATTATTATTTGCTGGCATGCTGATATTCTAAGTAAAAAATACTGTTGAATAAACTGACATTTCACCCAATATACACTAAATTAAAAAGTTAAAAATAAAAATCAAATTTTTAATGTAACACAAACACAGGTGATGCAGGTGGGGATGAAAAACTAATTATTTTTTCATACCTAAGGTCAAAGACAAATGGAACTTTTTTTTTATATTGCCAGCTATGCCCCTTAATCAATAATACCCCCCTCCCCGTATTATAATTAATTTTACCTTAATTTGTTGTCTACAACGGCCTGTAGAATCATTGAATACCAGCCTTTCCTGTTGTGGTAATCTGCAGGGTTTTTAGCAGGACCAATGATTGGGATATGTGTGCCGTCGACTGCACCAGCACACTGTGGGAAGCCATGTTTTTCTTCAAATGCTTGTATTGTCCGTCGAAGACGATTGCCTGTTGGCCACACGATGTATTGCTGCATCATTACATCTATCATGGCAACACAAACCTCCTGCACTAATTCACATACTGTCGATCTTCCGACTCCAAACAAATTTGCGATTGTTCTTAAGTCAGACGGTGTAGACAATCTATACAACGCTAGTGCAACCACTTTCTCTACAGAAAATCCATTCAAAGCATCTCGCTGAAGGCGGGGTCTTAGGATATCACATAGGATATTAAAAACCGGCTGAGACATTCGGAAATTTTCTTTCCAGAAACGATCATCCTGCCTTGGTGCTGCATCCCACCAAGCTGAAACTCGTGGCCCCAAAAATTGTCGTTCGACGGGGTTTACTCGCTGATTGTAAGCGAGGGCAGCTTGCAGAACAGCCTGTCGGCGGGCCCTTCTTCGCCTTCTCATGTGTCGCATAGCCGCGAGATTTGCCTCATTCTGAGCATTTATTCCATCAATATAAACCCGCATCATCGTGGTCATGATGTTGGACAGCAGTAAAATTACCTGCTGATACGGAACAAACACCATCATAAACAAAATCTCGTCGAACAACGTGAATGAATACAGAATAACAATCGAATATTTAGCGAAGTAGAAGTGCGTGAAGCGTGGTTAGAAACGTAAATATTGCGTGGCATGATGGGATATACTATTGCCTCGCTGACCTCAAACAAGTATTTCCGGGGTAAATTTTTACACGGTTAGACATGACAAGTTTGTGCTCGAATGCGGGGACCTCCCGTGGTGTAAAGCCGTGCGTTTACCTGTCAAATACACGGAATTTAATAGGCGTGTATGGCTCGAACGCACCCTTAGAGCCATTGGAATGTAAACAAGAAACCCATTACAATCACTCACTTCATCTCACTTCTGTGGCAATAAATAATTTAAGAACCCTTCGCTTTTCAACAAACCAGCAGGATGCATCCTGATGATGACATAATTAATGTCGAAATATTGAATCCCAACACGATGGCGTGTATTTCAATACTTGAAGTATGTATTATACTTTCTTAGCAGGATGTATAACCCTGGTTTTTTTCCAAAGCCAGGTGCCATGGACCAGTTCTGTTAATGGCCAAATATGCAGCATGTAGCTAAAGTACTACCTAACTATAGGCCTAGACCCTTAGCTAGTAGTAAGTATGGGTAGGCCCACCTGGCATAGGCCTAGCCTAGCACTGCAACAGTTTGCCTACGGAACCACAATGCTTATTAAAATACATTAGGTGAACACTCCATCTAAACTGTCAACATCCTTTTGGTTTTTTAACACCATCTACTATCAAGGTTAAAATAAACATTAAACAGCAGGGTGCTGCCAATGTGTGAAAATCGGTGATGCATGTATCAAAGGCCTTGCATAGTTTTAGTCTGAAAGTTGTTTCAATTCAAACACTCACATGAAAGGGTTCGGCCTATAATATTTTTCATAATTTCTCATTTATATTTGACATCATTACTCACTTCACATCAAAACACATTGCTTGCTGAGGAAAATTTAAAATAATGAATACTATTGAGGCCTAGACCTACGTCAATTTTTTCAGCATACCATCACAGGCTAGCTAGGCCTAGGCAGGCCTAATTCCTCAACTAAGCCACCACATCGTTTTCTATGACAAATTATAAGTATCTTTATTATCTGTAACAACTACAAAGGGATACAGTTTCTTAGCATTTCAAAACATCATAATTTTCAACTTGCAAATACTCAAACTTAAACCAACCATCCCCAGCCGAAATTTTACATCGAAATGAGCACAAATTCACTGGCTTTCCTATCAGTAAACAACTCTTTGGACTAGTGTTATTGCAGCCACTCTATGGTCAGTTTTTTTTTAAGAGCTTCACAAATTCACATTATGCAAATGGCACTGGCTGTATACAGAGGCTATTCACATTTCTACCTGCACAACAAAATCGGGAGCGTATGAGTTGAATATTTTCACTTTTACTGGTCCGTTTTTCAAGATTCGAACTGCTAAAAACATTGTACCTTATTTACAGTACCATCCAGATATTATCTACCCTTGCCAGCGTCTGTATTCAGCGAGTGGTCCATTACGTAATTGTTTAGCATCTACTTCCTGTTAAAAGTCGGAACTCGCGGTATAAGTGCGTTTCACGTTGGACTGAAAAGTCCAGAAAAGTTTATGGTAAATTATTACGTAATTCGCAGCACGCCCGATCTCTCTATTGTCAGGCGAACAATGAGCGAGTTGGTTTTGAGATGTAAAGTTATTTCGCTAATAGTCGGTAGTGCAGGTTATAAAATTTAAAGAATACTGTGATATACATATTTTTTTTCAGAAATGTAACTTACTTCGGAGGTATAAATAGGCAATTCCTATCGAAGTATGTTTCAATTTATTTACAGCGTTATTCTTTATTATCTCTGTAGGATCGGAAAACAAAATATACGGTATATAGGCTATTATTGTATCAAAATATCTAAGCAAATAAAGGTCAGAATAACCGATGTATTTTCTTTATTGAAGGTTGGTTACGGCTACAATTGAACTGGGAACGTCTGCTATCAGCAAGGTCGCTTCAGTAATCAACAGAAAAATGAAATGAAGTTTTTAGACTTGTTAAACATACAGTACTGTATTTATTTTGTAGTTTTGAAATAAAAGCTATGACCAGAATACTTTTAAACCGTCATAGGCCTTCATAAAAACAAGAAATACGTGAATGGCGTGTACTTACTGTAGTACATTTACTCAGTTGTGCTTAAAAATTCGTATCGAAATACGGTCTTAACTTTATTTATATAGTTATAGTCTCGCTATGTATTATGATTCATTCATTGTGTTGTGTAAATATATTTACTATCATTTAATTGCATATTTACACAGGCAACAATGCAATGGTTAGCTTGGCCTGAGTAAGTTATAACAGGCAACAGTGCTGAGTTGGTATAAAGAGTAGGCCTACGTTTTAACGATAAAGTACGATAGCTAGGCAAGTAGGCTAAAAAATAGATGAATTGCCTAGACTGTTGTTCCAAACATTACAGGCCTAGGTATAGGCCATGCATAAAAACAAAGAAATATATTAAGGAAAAGGAATAGTTAATTCATAAGCTATCTCTCTGTAACAGGGGAAAGCCTAATATCAAGTTACTAGTACTTCAGGTTGCCAGTAACGGTGAATTCAGTGAGAAACGTTCCTGTAAGTAGGTTCCCACGATACTACAGTATCCAGGAGAAGCAAACACGAGGTTAATCACTTCTGATTCTCTTTGAACGCCGCCAACTCAGGGAATGTAGACACGCGCTGCTGCTATGCAGTACAGCATGGATATCTCCATGAGTACAGTAACGCGGCAAGATAAAGACAGAATAGCTGCCTGCTTGTTTAGGGAAGATTTGTTTAGGGAAGATTTGTTTTCTACTGAATTTTTTGGAGATAAGTAAATTTCCGGGTGATTTTTGCTTGCTTGCGGGAGACCATAACGATTTCCGGGAGAATTCTTATATTGAATCAACTTTACGAAATTCATTCCCCCATAATTTTTGGTAGAGTCCTCGGTTAATTGAATGTGCTTCACAGTAAAACATGTGCTTTTGATCGGCTACCTTCCAGACAGACGGTCGAATGTAAGCGACAGGCCTACACTCCGTGATACATAATAACTTTAGAATATAAAATCTGGCTAAATAAAAACAATAATAAACATAATATAATATGGTGATGCTAACAAATAACAAAATGTTCAATCACTATTAATTAACCATTTAATACTAAACATAAAGTTTATATTCATAACAGTGTATATTTTTTTAAATCGTAATTTAAGTCCTAGCCTTCATCATGTCACTTTATTCCACAATTTGATTGTCTCACAATAAGATAGCCGGTAGTGTCATCATCTCAAAGATTATAAATAAATATATACAGTAGAACCTCGTTTTTACGTACCCCAGTTATACGAACCCTCGGTTTTATGTACGCCTCGTATCGACGATGACGGCATCAAAAACCCCAAAAATTTTCAAAACAAACGGCCTTTTCAGAGCAACCATAAGTAAAAATACTATAACCATAGACTATAACAGTAAACAAACCATAATGCAACATATTTTCATTAAACAGCAACATTGATTGAGTTTAATACCGGGTTGTTATAATCTAAAACCACACGTGAACTGAGTGAGATGAACTACCGATGGTGCTCAAAATAATTGCTTTCCTCCTTAGCTTCATGTGGCAAACCATGGAAAAACTTGTCTGGTCGAATTTTCTACACGAAGCTGAGTAGGCATAGTTTCGTACACGAACGCTAATTGGTTGGCTCGCCCAGTGCAGTGCACATGATTGCTGCTTCACGTACACAAACACGAATTGTTTGGCTCACCCAGTGCAGCTCACATGGGTTTAGTTTGTCTCTCAACAGGCCCAGACAACACCACAGCTCTGTTTAGAATAGGCATGAAGGGGAATTCCCAAGTTATACCTTTGTCGTATAGGTAATCTTACAATATTTTATATTATATACACTAGACACATGGTTTTATTTGAACACTTTATTATGACATCGTAAAGTGATGAATAAAAACACTAAACACATGTTTTTATTCGTAGGCCCAGAGGCTAATAAGTCTAGCCTAGGCTAGGTAACATCGTTCGTTCATACATACGTATATTGAGCGTTACGTACGTATTAGGTCAAAGGTTACCAAAAATTTAACCCAAACTCTATTTTACGAATCCCCCGATTTACGTACGCCCTCCGGTCCCGTACCGTACGTAAAATCGAGGTTCTACTGTATTATAAAATTGGAAACTGATGATGTGTGTTTCATACTACCTGTCAATAAATATTAAAGACTTACGATTTTTAGCATCTTCAGACGAATCAATAATCAAACTTCCTACAAACTTGGCTTCACTTCCAACACGACGATTACAGCGGGCACACTGTATACGTGTTTCTTAAGAAGGAATCTTTCTTTTCTCACGCTCTTAAACTCTTACTACGATATGACCAATAATACACAACAGTCGATTTTGTTAAGAATTCCAGTGAATAAAAAAAAAAACTGTTCGTCATTAATTATGTTGTTAAACAGACGACATCGTGAATCGTTGCCTTTATCAACTATTATTATTGTATCATAACAAAATAACACAAAGGACACAAGTTACAGCATTATATTTGGTTTCAAACTCATAATATTCACAACCATTAATTGATCGACTAATAAAAGAGATACCTTTATCAGTAACTATTATTATGACCAATAATACACAACAGTCGATTTTGTTAAGAATTCCAGTGAATAAAAAAAAAAATGTTGGTCATTAATTATGTTGTTAAACAGACGTGAATCGTTGCCTTTATCAGTAACTATTATTATTGTATCATAACAAAATAACACACAGGACACAAGTTACAGCATTATATTTGGTTTCAAACTACTACTGTTATTTTTTATGTAATATTCACAACCATTAATCTATAGACTAATAAAATAGATACAAGATTTTACCACTTGATCTTCTTGAATTTCTACAATGACGTAGGCCTACAATTTATATTTCTGTACATATATATTTAATCTTCATATAAACTGGAAAATAATGTTAGTACAGTTAACAAAGTAATTCAGATGCCTGTGGATATACCAGTGTATATCCATGAAAATATCAAGTTTAATATTCCCAGTTGCATTGTTTGGCTTTTGTCTGGCTGATAAACAACACAGACCAATTAAAAAAACCATTAAACAGTTCGTTGAAGCCATGAATTACTCAATGCCGTAACGGTTGATTGCGTATGGGTGGTCCTATTACTAACTAATTAACTGCGTGTCCCACGAATTTCATCTGCGGAAAAAATGCGTGCGGCGGGCTAATGATTTCTGGATGGTACTGTATATTTACATTACATAACATAAAAATCAGTAACAATTACTGATTTTTAATTTGTAAGACATGACTGCTTAGTAATCTGTTTAGGGATGCTCCCCAGCAGGCTCCTTAATCCTGATAATCAAGGTTAGCTCATATCTAATGTAAACATTAGCCTGGTTCACGTCCAACTTTTATCTAGATATACATCCACTTAACTAGTTAAAAGTTCGACGTGAACCACTCAATTATAGCTAGTGTTACATCTTTGCCTATTTTTTATTAACTTCTTTATATGATTATATATGATACTTTGTAGTTAGCATTTTTATGACCTTAAGTTTTACTCAACATTTTCTAGGAAAGTACTGTTTCCTTATTTTAATTTGTTTTACTTTGTAAAGTTCATAAATATTATTATCCTACAGTATGCTATTGTCCTATGACCCACAAGTTCCTTTACCCGTGGTCAGTATTTAATTAACACAAGGTAAATGAACTGAGCTTGGAACCTCTAAGACTTGAATGTGGTTTCGCATCCTGGACATTTACTTTCAGTTGGTCCAAACCACTTATTTATTACCTTAATTAGGTATGTTTATCGGACACTTTACTATAGCTTTTAATTGGTGGATTAGTTTGCTAAACTTGTTGGAATTGGTGCCCTGATTGGATGAGACCCTTAATATGCAAAGTGTCACACCCATCTTAAATGATCTTACTACCCTAAGTAATTCAGTTGTAATTTGGGATCCAGTGCAGACAACTCAAGACATCTTTATTACATGGAACCCTGTTATTTTGTCCAGCTTCAGTTCCTCTTTGATCTGTAAGTAAAGTACTTAAGTTGCTGCTTAAGGTTCTAGCCACCACCATCCTCTAAGCTCATTTATATGTTTAATTTCTATCTTTGTTTAACTACCGTATTATAATGGCATTGTAAATAAATTATATACATTTTGTAAATACACAAAAGTTGTGATCTCTTCTCTGTTAGTTATTCTGAGCCGTAACGTAACACTAGATAAAGGAATTAAGTCACTTAAGTTAAGTGACTTAACTTTACTAGAATAACGGTCGGCTCGGATTACAAGGACACGATTACGTAACGTAGGCACCTAAGCCAGCGTTTTTGTATTGTACCACCATTATCATCTTCTGGCTGGCAACAACGTACTTCAACAATGCTAACAACAGCATCGAAGTAGTCTCATTAGTCTGGTTTTCAGAAATTATTTGTAATATTTTGGGTAAACACCCAGCAAACGTCCGTTTTACGAATAGTCGATATTACCAATGACCTTTGCATCATCGACCAAGTAATAACGTTAAAAAGTCTGATTGCGTTTGTTTTTGAAAGTGATAATGTATATTTTTCTTTAAACTTTTGGTATACATATGAGCCTTTGCATTTTTAAGCCTCTTGTAAATATATAAAACGGATATTTTATGACATGATTTATGAAAATCAAAGAGAAAAGAAGAAATAAAAGTGGGTTTAATCCCCACTAAAGAGAAAAAAATGTATATTTTTCTTAATAATAAAATCGGATTTGTTGTATTTATTTATTGACAATTCAATCTTTTCTATTTCTGCTATAATAGTCGCTATTAATTAAATTTCAACGAACTACCACCAACGCCAGTCGTTAAAATGAGCGCACACGATGACGAAATAAAAAAGTGTGTGGAAGTCAGCCACTTATTTAGCACTGCGAAGCTAGATTTTTGGGAAGTGCATGTAAACAACACAATTGAGCGATCTAAAAACTACAAAACAGGACAGAAAGGTCCATAAAGTATACATACGTTTTAATGAAAATTAAAACAATATTTTGTTAAATGGAAGAATGCTAGCTAGCGATTAAAATAATTCGTTTTTTTATCGAAGGTAAATGTAGCTAGGGCCTAGAAAATCTTTTAGATTGCGATAGAACACGCTGCTTCACTGTCGTTGGTTCATTCTGGTCGGCTAGGTTAGGTAGTGGAAACTCACACATTCTCTACCGTAGTTTACATTTTTTTTTGAACGAATACCACTTGGTACTAGAGGTTCGTAAAATACAGTAGATGTTTTATTAAACAAGCCTTTCCACCGTGTGACGTCGACGGCCTGAAACTGGTTGGCTGTTTATCTGGCTCTAACTTGGCATCGAACGCAATTAGGAGATTATCATATCATGTTTCAAGACGGGTATATCTAGATAAAGTTGGACGTGAACCAGGCTATTGAAAAGGATGTGCTTAAACCAGAGTTATCCTATTTAACTCGGGTTTGCTTTAGATGAGATGTTTCCGTCATGAAATATTGTACAAACAAATCTTTTATGTAAAATTTAGTGTCTGTTGTAGCCTTTGTAAAAAAATTGGCTTGGCACCAATGCAGTTTTTGAAATCTCTAGGCCTAAGAAGCCTACACATTAGGGCCTAGGCTAGGCCTAAGTCAGCAAAAAAAAAAAAAAAAAAATCTGCCCTGCCAAATCCGCCCCCGTGCCCTGCCCCTGAAAATTTCTGAGGGTGACGCTAAACAAGTATATTTTTTTTTGGCCTAATAAAAATTTTTTTAGGCATAATGTTTTTTAATTTGTTTTATTGTTTTTACTACCGTATTTTGTTTTATTATTCATAACTTACCAGTTAGTCTATTATTATTATAATAATAATAATAATAATAATACCAGTTAGTCTATTATTATTACTACCATACAAATATTGTATTATTTCAACACATTATATTTATTGAGTGCGATTCTTATATTCTCAGCAGGTGAACGAAGCAGATATCGACAGCGATTCATCTAGTGATATGTTGTTATCCCAGATTTCTTCTAACCCTCGATATGGAGGTGGACGTGGTGCAGGAGGGGGACGCGGTGCAGGAGGGGGACGCGGTGCAGGAGGCGGACGCGGTGCAGGAGGCGGACGCGGTGCAAGAGGCGGACTCTGTGCTAGAGTAAGTACATTATATAAGTTCAAATTTAATAAAAAAAAAAAAACGTTGGCCATAATATTTGATTTGTTTTATTGTTTTTACTAATATTGCTTTTATTTTTCATAATTTACTAATTACTCTATTATTATTATTGGAATGTGATACCAGTACATTATTTAATTACTCACAAACAAGTTCAAATAATAAAAAAAATGTTAGGTATAATGTTTTTTAATTTGTTTTATTGTTTTTACTATGGTATTTTGTTTTATTATTCATAACTTACCAGTTAGTTTATTATTACAGTAGAACCTCATTTTTACGTACCCCAGTTATACGAACCCTCCGTTTTACGTACGCCTCGTATCGACGATGACGTCATCAAAAACCCCCAAAAAATTTAAAACAAACGGCCCTTTTCAGAGCAACCATAAGTAAATGACTATTACAATAAACTATAACAATAAACAAACCATAATAATGCAACGTATTTTCATTAAACAACAATATTGATTGAGTCTAACACCGAGTTGTTATAATCTAAAGCCACGTGAACTGAGTGAGATGAACAACTACCGATAGTGCTCAAAACAATAGCTTTCCTCCTTAGCTTCGTGTGGCAAACCATGGAAACACTTGTCTGGTCGAATTTTCTACACGTAGCTGAATAGGCATAGTTTCGTACACGAACGCTAATTGGTTGGCTCGCCCAGTGCAGTGAACATGGTTGCTGTTTCACGTACACGAACGCTAATTGGTTGGCTCGCCTAGTGCAGCGCACATGGGTTTAGTTTGTCTCAACAGGCCCAGACAACACCACAGCTCTGTTGTTTAAAAGAGGCATGAAGGGGAATTCCCAAGTTATATCTTTGTCGTATAGGTAATCTTACAATATTTTCATGTTCTTTAGTTAAATAAAAGATATAAAGTGATGAATTATTACACTAGACACACGGTTTCATTTGAACACTTTATTATGACATCGTAAAGTGATGAATAAAAACACTAAACACATGGTTTTATTCGTAGGCCTACAAGCTTGCTTTAGCCTAGCTAGGTAACATCGTTCGTTCATACACACATGTATTGAGTCTTACGTACGTATTAGGTCAAAGGTTACCACAAATTTAACCCAACCTCTATTTTACGAATCCCCCGGTTTACGTACGCCCTCCGGTCCCGTGCCGTACATAAATTCGAGGTTCTACTGTATTACTACCATACAAATATACAAATTATTTCAACACGTTATGTTTATTGAGTGTGATACTTATATTCTCAACAGTTCAACGAAGCAGATATCGACAGCGATGCATCTAGTGATATGTTGCTATCCCAGATTCCTTCTAACCCTCGATATGGAGGTGGACGCGATGCAGGAGGCAGACGTGGTGCAAGAGGCGGACTCTGTGCTAGAGTATGTACATTATAAGTTCAAATAATAAAAAATGTTGGGCATAATATTTGATTTGTTTTATTGTTTTTGCTAATATTGTTTTTATATTCATAATTTACTAATTACTCTGTTAATATTACTACCCTACTAATATTTTATTATTAGAGGTGGTAGACGTGGTTTTACGAGAGGGGATCAAGATGTACATACCTTGGAATATGAGGTACATTATACTCACAAACAAGTTCCAATAATTAAAAAAATTTAGACATAATATTTTTTTTATTTTTTTTATTGTTCTTACTACAGTATTAATGTTTTACCATTCATAATTTACTAATTAGACTTATGATTACTACCATACTAATATTGTATTATTTCCACACATTATATTTATTGAGTGTGATACTTAAATTATCAACAGGTAAACAAAGTGGACAGTGATTCATCTGGCCATAGTTCTGTATCCCCAACTGCTAACCCTCGTCATCGGCATGGTGCCGTAGGTGGACGCAGTGCAAGAGGTGGACGCGATGGAAGGGCTGAGGGAAGTGCAAGAGCTGGAGGTGGTGCAAGAGCTGAACGCGGTGCAATTGGTGAACGTGGTGCCAGAATGAATCAACATCTGGATGCAGATTGGGAACCCGATAACTGGGAACTGTTAGATATCCTATTCACTAACGTTCCTGGGCCAACAAATGCGTAGTGATGAGCCCATCGAATTCTTTGAACTTTTTTTGACCGAAGAATTTGTATTGAAAGTAGTAGATGAGACCAATCTTTATGCGGAACAAAGTATCCAGGAGCAACAATGTTGTGATGCGCAAAAGGAGCATTCACGTTCAAAGGCATGGAAACCGGTAAGTGTCCAAGATATAAGGAAGTTTCTTGCACTAATGTTCCTGACGGGCATCATTGGAAAACCGGAGCTGGAGCAGTATTTGTCTACCGACGAACTAGTCACAACGCCAATGTTTGGTAAGGTAATGTCAAGAAATTGCTTCGAGATTATTTTGACATATTTTCATTTTAAAGATAATAGCCAACGTCCACCCAACTGCAATGACAGGCTGTTCAAAGTTAGGCCGATATTAGATCACTTGCTATCCAGATTTCGGGAACTCTACATTCCTGGTCAGAATATTTCTATTGACGAGGGGATGTTATCATGGTGTGGGCGGTTAGGGTTCCGAGTTTATAACAAAGATAAGCCTAAAAAGTATGGAATCAAGTCCTATGTTTTGACTGATTCTGCCACAAGTTACTGCTGGCAGCTGAAGACGTATTGTGGTGTTGGTGCTACTTTTGAGGAAACGATTCTAGGTTTACTGGGTAACCACACAAACAAAGGTCATGTCTTGTTTATGGATAATCTGTATAATTCAGTCAGGTTATCTAAAAGACTCCTAGAGTTAGGCACATATGTGTGTGGTACAATTAGGAAAACAGAGACCTGAGGCACCTGCCATGCGTAATGCCACTAAGAACAATATGCAGGTTGGGGAAGTAATAGCTCTTCACCAAGAAAACATGCTTTGTGTTGCCTGGCGGGATAATCGCATTGTCCGGGCAGTTTCTACCATTGGAGAAAATTCAATGGTAGAAGTTCACGCGAGACAATAAGGGGTACCAGGTGGTAGAATTGCTAAAATGATGCCTGCCTGCATTACTTTGTACAATGCAAATATGAATGGTGTTGATAAACTTGACCAGTGTATAGGGTACTATCCCTTCACTAGAAAATCAATGAAGTGGACAAAGAAGTTTTTTTTTTACACGTTACAGATATCAATGTAAATGTATATGTTAATAACCTTCCAAGTGTTGTAAAATATGGGACAATTAGTATGTATGCTGATGATACTGCCCTTTATTATGCTTCTGATGACATTATAGATGTAACCCATAAGATTAATATTGACCTAGAAAATATAAGGAAATGGTTAATCAGTAACAAATTAAGTCTGAATGTAAAGAAGACAGAATTGATGATTATTGGCACACACCAAAAATTATCAAAGTTGTCTAATGTTAACTTAGATATCAATATAAATGGTTCTCAATTGCAATAACCATTATTATGTATTATATATATTTGTTTTTTCTTTGTACTAACACTTAATTATTTTAATCTAACACAATTATTTTGTTTAATGTCCATACGGCCTTGTGGAAGAACACCCACTTGGGTGAACGAGTTTTTTGACCGTTATAAAATAAAGTTGTTATTATTATTATTTATTATTATGTATAATGCTTTTGTACTGTGTAAGTGCAAGGTAGCTAATCCAGAATGTAAATTCCTATCAGAATTTATCACAAGTGTGATTAGGTCGATGCTTTCATTACCAACTGATGATGACATGGATGTCAGCGACCATGATGAAGATCATCATCATAATGATGTACCAACTCCACGTGTCCCTGCTAATGACCCAGACACGAGATTAGATGGTATCATGAGAAATCATATGTTACAGCTAATTGTCGGTACTGCTCGAATTGAAAAAAATTTAAGATCAAACTAGGTAGTTCAACCATGTTAAGTAACTAGGTATTTCTACCAAGTAACTCCAAGAACTACCTATTTACAACGTAGTGTATAATGGCCCTTTGGATTGACATCATTGATACCTTAGAAGCAAATAGTAATTGATTGTGCAAACAATGGAGGCCATTTATGTCATTAGAAATTGTTTAAATAATTCATGGTTGATTTAAGGTCGTCTTTGGCATTCCATGTGCATTCTACCCCTTAGTCACCTTTACCGTCGCTACAAGCTACTGTTTCGACGAATCACATGACTCCAAAAAATAAACGCGTTTGCAATTGGCCAATTCCTATGAGGAAAGTGGGCTAGATGCTGCTACTATCTAGTCAATCTTGTTCCCTACCCAGGTTATTTGTTTAATGAGTGTTTAGAAATATTTTAGTTAGAGTTCGAAAATATCAATCGGGAATTTGTATGCGCTTGAAATGGGGCTTAAAAATATTTATCAACATCGAAGCCTAAGCCAGTGTTGAATCCGAAGAGAGCGCCACATGCAATATTTTCTATTTTTTCTCCCCCCCCCCCAAAAAAAAAAACAATAAACGACAGACTCTTACATAGCATGGCGAAAATATTCATATCTTATTATTGTGTTATATATCTATCCTCCATGACTTTACCACCATTGAGAAGTTTTTCCTCTGGTTATATACGAACGAAAATAATACGTTTGGTAGACCATGATATTTTTCTCCATGGGTAGACAGAATAGAATTGTGTTGTGTATGGAAGTGTTGTGGTTTGAAAAAAACATAAAACAAACTTGATACCTGACTGGATACAGTAATCCTTTTGCAGCTTCTATCGGATAATAGACTAACGTGTGTACAGTACGGTAGAGTGAAACCATTGCTGGCTGAGCTCCGACCGTGTCAGTGAAATATTTAACGAATAAGAAAATAAAATTAATCCACCTGATCCATCCCGAAATAGGCAACAATACTAAATTTCCCAGTACTGTAAGTTGCCTAGTAACAAACGTTTTGCAAATAAGTTCCCACCACGTTGGCACGATACTCCATTATAAGAATCAGACACATGGTCAGTCACCTCACCTAATTAGTTTGATTCTTTGTACGCCGCCTGGAGCGTAAACACGCTACTGTCGAGAAAAGCAGATTGGCTTGTTCGGTAAACTACCGTACCATAAGATTATTTAAGGAAGTAGATGCTTATTCAACCACGGAAAGCTACCGATGCAGAGTTGACGTACATAACCTTTTCCCTAAATTTTTTCTTGAAATATGACAATGATTATACATAAAGACCTGTAGACTGTTCTTTTTTTGTGAGCCCCCCCCCCCCGAATATCAATCACCAAGTTCCGGCGCCTGTGTGACATATGAAAATGGCCCATCATTTGGCCGCGAATGTCAAATCAGGTGGTTGGTATACAGGGCACATTGCTAGGTGCCAAATTCCATACAATAACAGTAGCGGATTTAGGATTTAAGAGGGTGGGGGAAAGAGCTCCCCTTCCCATTTCAGATTTTTTTTTTTTTTTATTTTTTTGGAATTAGTAGACTGCTAGACCTTAGATGTTATATAGAAAGTATGTTTTACGATAGTAGGCCTACACGAAAAGCACACCTACAACACGAGTGAGGTACACGAGTGAGTTACATTCATGATAAATGAAGGGGGTGGATGGCTACCGTATCCACCCCCTAGATCCGCCATTGTTCAAACACACCTATAATGTGTTTCAAAAAATTAGGCCTATAAAAATTATCTAACAAGACCATCAAATTACATACTTTAACGATTAGAATTTAAGGGGGTGCGGTACCATTATTTGTATTCATGATAAATGAAGGGGGTGAATGGCGTGAACATGTGACAGGATGAGATGGGACTTAGTTTGCCAACTAATTTCAAATGTCATACAGGCGCCGGAACTTCGTGATTGATATTCAGGGGGGTGTCATTACGGCTCACAAAAACAGTCTACAGGTCTTTATGTATAATCGTCATATTTCAAGAAAAAATTTAGGGAAAAGGTTATGTACATACGTACATATATCATGTACTGGTATATATAAATATAAGCCTATAGT